CTCGCAAGTTGTGCTGCCGACTTGTGTCCCTGGTTCCTGTAACGGGTCACATATTTGAGGTGAACTTGTATTACTGGTGTCAGTCTGAATGTTGCAGGACTCATGAAGGGGAATCTGTGATGGCATACGGTTCTTCTCAATCAGAAAGCTGCATATCGTCATCAAGCTCATCTCAATTTAACAGATTATTTTGAAGGATTCATCAAGTGTATCCTTCGCGGCCTTCAATCTCCCACAATCCTTTGCACATTCAATTCATGAAAAAAAAAACGTACAGAAAACGAGTCGGCTCTGAGCTTATCTGAGTTTATTATTAAATGTAAGACAAAAGTAATGTTTGCGGAGATGGAGGCATAAATGTTATCTTTTGTTTTGGTGTAAATGAATCACTTAACACTAAACTGCCACTGGGAGACCACAGACGAGTTTCATTCACTGCATTGCATTAATGTATTTTTCTAAAATGAAGTGTTATAGTATTTCGGTGCTGAGACTGTGGGGGGAGGAACCATGAGCTCTTAGACTGTCTAGCGTTTAATGCTGAGGATGAACAGCCCACAAGCCTCCCGAATGACTGAAGGACAGCCTCATGCCTGTGTGACGACCTGCCCCAACCTTACATTAATGGAGAAACTATACCTTTGTCCTGTAAAAACACAATCGTCCATTTATTGTTGACTCTTGCTCTTGCATTGTCAATGTGTTCTTGTTGTTTTTGCTTGTTATCAAACACATTACCAAATAAACTTTTTTTATTATTTGAATTTGATATATATATATATACACACATTCACAAAAGTTGTATAACCACTGCCAGAGAAAAACTTTGACTGACTTCCACTGTGACAACTAGTATATATATATATATATATATATATATATATATAGCCCTGATGTCCACTAATTAACAGATTACCAAGCATAAATATTAATGCATGAAGTATTCATTCTGATTGGTGTTTATCTCTGTATAAAAGAGTGAGCGACATTAATTAGGCAGATGAGAAAATGCTTAAAAAGACCCCAAAAAAGAAGAATAACAACAAGAAGAGATTTAAGTTTGCTCGGTCTTCTCCAGTTGATGTGATGGACTCGTCCACTACAGCTGCTAACAGCACAACTCTTCACACACATGCAGGTTTCGATCTCTGCACCGCATTATTGGCTGACTGCAATCATTCTGTCTGCCTCTTTCCTCTTCTTCTGAGCAGGACGATTCATCTTTCATCCAGAAGACCAAGACTCATGCTTCTTCCTCAGTCCACAGGTCATTTGTGGAGCATGAAGAGGCATTTGAGTCTGCAACCCAGGAGAAAGAAGCAGCCAGAGGTTCGAGAATAAGGTCTGTGTACTGCATGATCTTCAGCTCCACTCCTGTAGAGTTCATCTCCAACCCTATCTAACACACCTGCAGCTGATCAAGGTGTTCAGTGTTGGAGCAGGGCTGGAACTGACGTCAGCAGGAGAATAGCTGCAGGAGGTCTGTCTGAAATCAGTTTTAATGTGTTTGAGTGAAATTCCCTGATGGGCGGCGAGGCAACAAGTCAGCGGTGTAAGTTTTCAAGTTAACAGTCTTTCACTGTCTGATTGTTTAGTATCTACTTCACAAGTTCACACTTACATATAATAAGAGTGGATAAGATTTAATGCGTATTTGGCGTGCTGTCCGGGGAGCGCTCCGAGCTCAGAGTTTGGCCCGAACCCAGAGTACTCCCCCTATGTACGTGTTTAGGACTGGAAGTGTGGAGAAGGGGCGGTGGAGGGATGCTGCTAAACTGTCAATGGAGTGAGGTGAGATTGCTGAATCTTTATATACCTCTTATCATTGATTGCTGAGTGCACTCCACTCGTGTTAATTAACTGAACGTGCTCCTCCCGAACGTTGTTAATAAAACATAATTTCTTGAAGCTTGAAAAAAAACATGCCCAGATTTCTGTTTATGTCTCGAGTAAAATCTTTATTCTTATGTCGGTAACGCTTCCTTTTACAGTCCTGTTACCCATGTACATACTATGTACTTATTATAGTAATTACAGTTACTGGGTAATAAATAGGTACTAACCCCGAACCTACCCCTAACCCATGTACTTACCTTATATTAGCCAGTACTTTCTAGGTAAGTACACGTAAGTACTGTACTGTAAAAGGAAGCGTTACCGTTATGTCTTCACAGCAGAAGTTGGAGTCGGTTCCTCCTCATCCTCAGTAATCTGATCCTCAGAACAAAAGGAGTCGGTGTTGTTGACTGTGACCCTGCATGAACTGAACCCGTCACAGAGTAAGATAAAGCACTTCTCCATCTTTTCTACTGTACTCTTAAAGCACAATGCTTGATTTGACTTGTTAAATACTGATATATTCTGAACTATTCCTATATTAAACCAGGTAAATGGTATGAACAATAAATCATTCTTTGTATTAATGCTTCTTCCCAGCAGTATTTGAAGGGATGAAACCCTTTCCCAGCTTCCACGGTTCCTCCACATCCACAGACATTATTGAGCCCCTAACCTGGACAAGCATGATATTAGCTAACAACATGCAGTAAGTATGATGTTTCATTAGCCTTTAAGAAACGATGATCAGTTTTGTGAATGTGATCCAGCATTGAATAAACCCAGGCTTCAGCACTGCAGTGGGTCGGTACTCTCTCAGAGACCGAACCCGAGAGCGACTCCGGGTGATGATGCTGGTCAAGCTGCTTTGGGGAAAGAGGTTTCTGAATGTTAAAAGTCAGGACACCTGCTCATCCTTAATTAGGACTATTTTTATAACAACACAATGAAGTCTTCAAAACTGTGCAATAACACAAACAGATTAAGCTATTTCTCCTGAATGTGCAAGACTTCTGATTCATTAAGAAAATAACTAAGAATAACAATGTGCCATAAATTATATAACATTTTGCGCAACAGTCCAGTGTGTTTATGATTATGATAATAATTTAAAATAATATGCTACCAACTAAAAGTTTGCAGCATAATGAACTGTTGTTGTACAGTTAAATGGAGGAGAATGACACTGCAGTCTTGCTCATTCAAGTTAAACATGGCTGTTCCCACTCTCATGTTAAACATATGGTGGATAGGACTTATGGGGACCACAAAATGCACAAATCAAAACTGTTCTTTGTCGAGATATGAACTCCACACTCTCTGATCGTTCTGAAGTGCATAACTAAACATGAGTTGGTCCATCACATCTGATCATATGAACATCTCTGCAGAGTGTATCTATAGCATGCGTATCTAGAATAGAGTGTATTTGTTGTGCTATTTATACGCATAAATTACTTTTTGCATGCATAATGATACACACTGTTAACACAGTTTTGAAGAACTAAAGAGCATATGCAATTTCTCAAAATCGTTGTTCAACGCTGTTGATATCTGAAATCACCTCAAACACACACACACACACACACACACACACACACACACACACACACCTACCTCCCTTCATTGCTTCACCCTCAAAATTAACAAACACGCAATGCAATGCAAGAGTGCATTCAAATAATCTAGAACAATTAAAAATCGAAATATTTCTTATTTTGATTTCTTATTTTACCCCTTCAACAACTGGGAAATAGCTTATTTATATAAGTCAGGTTTTTTTTTAATAGACCTGGGAAAGTCATGGGAAATAATCAGATCTAATAACTTTTATGAATGCACATAAATCCTTATCCAGTAAATTCCCACAGACAGTGATATAATGCTCCTTTCTCCTCTTTACACTGATACTTAATTTACAATGAATATAATAATAATAATAAACTCAGAAAATGCATTTTACCCCCAAACACTATAAGAAGCGATTTATTTTCTCCTTTTCTCTCCTGGAATTGAAGAACTTTAAAAGCAACAAACGAAACATGCATGGCGTCCTCGTCTAGCAGTATCTGATGATTATTTAATGGCTCGCATAGTTTGCTGATTGGATGTTAAAGATGTTAAATATCCTCAGTAATGTAATATTATTTTAATGATGACACCCTGTTCACTGTGAATTTATAATGCACTGCAAAGATTTCAATGATTTTTGATTGCTATCTGTTTTTATACAGTTTAGTCCCAGGACATACACTGAAAACACCCGTGACCTGCACTGAACTGTTTAAAACATGCTCATTACTTTTGTTCATACGAATAAAAACAACCTAAGTAACATTTTTCAAACCTTGTGACCTTAGTTTAACAAACGTGAAAAACTCATGCAAAGAAAATCGTTTGTATATCTTTATTTCACACTTGGTTAATTGCAGCAAAAAACAGCATGTATAAAACAAATGAAAGAAAGAAAAACCGCATATATGAAAGAGTAAGAAAAATCATCTTGTATTAAAAAAAAAAAAAGGCCCTATTTGGTAAGACAGGAAACATGTTAAACATGAATGGTCAATTGAAATAATAATAAACTATTTTAAAGAGCGACTTTAAAAGCAGCTTCTCAAAGCGCTGTACAGAAAAAGTAATACACAGCACAATAAATAAAAAAAAATTAGTAAAAATACTTTAGGATGACAATGTCACTCTTTCAAATCAAAAGTCCATTATTGGCTTTTTGAATGAAGGCTTTTTAATTCGTGCCATGGTCATCCTAAAATCCTCTTTGATGGACTATTACAAACTCTATAGAGCACCTTCACTGTACGCGTTTCCCTAAGATACGCTCTCTTCTACTGGACTTTGTTTGAAGATCAACAAATGCTAGTTGAGTTGAGCTTTAAAGATGTCATAGGTCTGAGCTTCCCTCAGTTCAGGAGGAAGAGGAGCATAGACAGAAAAAGCCCTGCCGATCTTAAGTGGGTTTGTGGAACAGTGAGAGAATTAGACCGTAAGGAGTCTGTGATTTGGGTTGTAATGGGTTAACAATGCAGATAAATAATGAGGAGCCACGCCATGTAATGCCAGCATCATCATTTTAAAATCGACACTTGACCTGAGCGAGAGCCAAAACCGGAGTAATATAGTTGCATCTACTGGTCCCAGTCCGGATCCTGGCGGAAGAGTTTTGAACTGGAGCTTATTAAATGTGGATTTAACACTTTGGCTAAAAGGGCGTTTCAGTAATCTATCCGAGAGACAACAAATGAGTTCATCCGCTTTTCAGCTACAGAGAAATGTAGGCGCAATCTGGCTATATTTCTGAGATGAAAAATATGTACAAAAGAATCGAATGTAAGACTGCCATCAAAAACAGAGAAAATGTCATCACTAGAGAGCATGTTTTACATTTCCTTATATAATATGTGTGCAGATAATGCAGTGCCGTTCTCTTTCAGTCAAGCATGAGCATTAGCACGACGCAGACTCATTTCTTCTGCTGTTTTTCTTTTGTCGTCTGTTTTCTTCACTGCTCTCAGGGACCTTTGAACAGAGAACGCAGTGTGAGGAATTATCCAGGTAATGTGGAAAATAAAAACTGTGATGTTGATGATTTACAGTTTTAAGATCACAATGAACCTGATCCTCACAAATAACTGAACTGAGATTTATATTCTACATGAAAGTGAAAATTGTGAACTTCTTGTCAGTTACTGTAAAATCTTTGTAATAAATATCTTACGTGTTTTATTGTTTTTTGTGACCTTTCTTCCTTAAAACTTGAGCATAAGTTGCATCAGGGACTCCAGCATCAGCACCTGAAGAGCACAAATGTTATGTTTCTCACACTTCCTCAATGATCCTCATGACTTTATGAATCATTGTGAACTGTTGATGTTTAATAGTTAACTTTAACAGTGATGAAGCTTGACTCTGTTTCTCTCACCTCTATCTGTGTTGATCTTCACTTCAGAGTATAAAGTGTCTTCAGACTCACTGCTCTTCCCTGATAGAGAACAAGAGAAACAGAGAATAAACACACGCTTTACATCTGTAACTTCAATAATAACTGATGATCCATGAATATATCAAGAGAGAACAGAACCTCTCAAACCACAATGAACGTTTATTAGCAGGTTCTGCTTAAATATTGTATACTTTATTTTCACATGATCTGTAGAAGACAATATTTCAGAGCATCTCTTTATTACCTCTGTGTTTCTCCTTAGATTTCATTTCAATCAGAACATCAGCAAGTCCAGCGCCTGTCATGCAAAACACCAGCTCAATTATCTGACTCTAGTCTTATTCATTACAGGAAATATCTGATTGATGAAACTATTGTTACATTTCCAAAATGAACGTGACTTTATCAGTTCTGTTAATAATGGTTCTCTTTTCTGAATATAGAAGCATTATATATTATATCTAGTTAAATGTGATGATTCATTCAGACAGTGTTTAGATGCAGTTTGTTGAGCGTTTACCTTTGCTCTTGCTTTTCTTGTTGTCCTGTATATTGATCTGTGCGTAAGTCAAATCACTGGGTCCTGCAGTATTAATATCTAATACAGAACAGAAAATAAATGAGATTATTCCGAATATGCTGGACAAATAATACTGTACTTCAGGAAAATAAGGATCTCACCTTTGCTTTTGGATTTCTTTCCTTTTGTTCCGACTTCTGAGTACATCACATTATTTGACTCTGCCATGGTTTCATCTAGAAAAATAGTGCATTCATGAAAATATCTATTCATATTTTATGCAATATAAAAACAGACACTGTCAATGTTACTGGTTAATGACTGATGACTCTATTGAAGAGGGGTTTTAACCTTTATCCACTGATATGTTTTTCTTAACAGTGACCTCTGAATATGTGACGTCTTCCAGCGGCTCTAAAACATACAAGTCAAGCCGACATGAATGATATTTGTTGATTTTAAATTATAAGTGTTTATATAAAGTTTGATACTCAACCTTTGTCTCTCTTATTCACTGAAATCACGTCATCATAAATGTGATCAGAATCTGCTGGACAGCAAACATTGAGGAGAAAAGGTAAAATCAGTATTGAACAAAAAAAAAAAAAAAATAAATACACATAAAGCTTAAAGGATAGTTCAAAAAAATATTTTGAGGAATATTGGGTTCCAAGCAACATCGGACCACTTTTAATGCAATATTTTTCAAAACATCATCTTTTGTGTTCAACAGCAGAAAGAAAGTCATACAGGTTTGTAATGACATGCGTGTAAGTAAATGAGACTGAATTAATGTTTGTGTGTGAACTATCCCTTTAAATCATGTGTTATTGTCTCTGACCAGATTGTAGGCGAGAGTTTAACGGTAGAGATTCTCCGGATGGATTCGGGACTGATGTCTGTTGAATGTTACAGTGCTGATCTATAATAGAGACAGATATCATTATAGTCACTGTAAGAGTTTTGTCACTCGCATATTTTCTGATTACATGCATGAACTGCTCATTTATTAATAAACATGCAGTGACTGTCTAGGCTTCAGAAACTGTATCTTCCATTTGTTGCTGTTCATGTGGTTTAATAATTCATAACATGTGATGAATTGCTCCACACCTTTCTTGTGTTTGTGTCTCCGCAGCAGAACCAGTGAGATGAAGAACAACAAGCAAACACTCAATCCCACACACACACCAACGGCCAGATGAGAAGATGAAGCTGTTGAGACTGAAGAACATGACAAACACACAGATCTGTCCGTGAGTGACGTGAGACTGTATGATAATATTACAATAATATCATCACTGATTATTCAGAGACCTGTGACTGAGATCCAGCTGTGGAGAGACCGTCCTCTCTCTGTTTTACAGGAGTAGAAACCCTCATGTGACTTTGAGACAGTAGTGATGCTCATCTCTCCTGTCGTCTGATTCTGGATCAGTGATCCGTCTTTATAGAAATCAGCGCTGAGGATCGGGGAGTTTGTAGATCGATGTAAACAGTGTAGAGTCAGAGTCTCTCCCTCAATCACAGGATCAACAGAACTCTCCAGAATCACCTCACCGTCTACAAACACAAGATATGTGTGTTTAATACTGTAAATAGGAAGAATACAGCAAAACAAATCATAAGAAAAATACTGATATTATGAATTGTACTTTATACCTCTCAAGCTTTTTTAGTGGCGACACTTTTAAAGTAAAAAGTTTTTATACTAAAGTTGAGTAGTCTAACCTGATCTCATGAGAAAAACGTCTCAGTTATGTATGTAACCCTCGTTCCCTGAAGAAGTGAACGGAGACATACGACGGAACTGACCAACGAATTGGGGATCGCTTTGAGTGAGCAATCTACTTCGAGTGCAAACTAAACGAGCCAATGCCCATTGGCATGTGATAATTGCATCAGCTCCTCCGCCTTGCAGTGCGGGTATATAACGAGTAGGGATGCACCGAAAGGAAAATGTTGGGTTGAAACCGACAATTCTGGATGCACTTGGCTGAAAACCGAAACCAAAAAAGAATTATTAATTTCTTATTTTAAATTAGTTTTTTTGTATAATTGTATTATTATTAAAGGTGCTATATGTATTTTTTAGCGGCCTCTATCGGTGATGTTTCAGATTGCAACCAATTTTTACAAGAGCGCTCGTGCTCCTGCATGTGCTCGAACACGAGAGCGAGCACTCATGGTACCGGCCAGTCGGCCACACTGAGACTTTCAACACACCGGAGAAAGCATCACACATCATGCTGGAAACTCATGTAAACTCCCACTGCAACGTTACAATAATAGGCTACTTTTATCAGCTTGATGTTGAACTAATGCTCCATGTTCGTACCATGATAACGTTACATCGACTGCATTTAGCCGACATGTGGTGTTATCTAGCATAAGGCATTTCACTAACTATTCGTGTATCTTTCACAATCAACAATCTCAACATAGGTGAATATATAATATGATAACGAAAACTAGACTGAACAATTTCAGTGTAACAGTAAGATTGTAGGAAGTAACATTACTGTACTGCACGTGTCTGGAAATGTGTATTATAAACAATATGATAGTAGTGGGATGAGTGACGTTAGACAGTAGATCTAGTACATAAAATAAAAGTTACATCCTAAAGCACCTACTTGTTATCCTGGAACAGTCTTTTGTATTTCATGTATTACCTTGCTATTTCATTACAGTCATTACAGTTATTTTGTATTACCTTGCTATTTCATTACAGTTTACCATTATTTATTTCAGCATATCTGAAAACTTGTAATTTATCACAATAAAAATAGCGGAGGTCTCTCCATAATTCAAATGCTCTGCCGATGTTGATCCGTGTTTTCGTCCTAAGTCGATCCGATTGACGTTTGGCCTGACGAGCTTCAGCAGATAAAACTTTCTTTTGTTTTTTTATATTTTTGTGGAGTTTGTGTTGGAGTGTGTGTTTTGCTGGAGGCAGGTCGTGTTTGGTGTTATCAGACTCCATGTGGTCAGCTGCCGTGCCGTCGCATAGACTGTATATAAAAAGGAGAGAGGCTCGGGAGCGCGCATGCACATCACATCCGATGGATTTCGCAGAAAATCCGACCCGGGGACTTCACATATAAATATGAATACTGGCCTTCAGAGGTAATAGCAAAACCCGACAAGTGTATCATTGTAATGTGTGATTACAACCCCTTCAAACACAGGCAATAAAAAAAGGATTAATTTTAGAAGAAAAGTTCCATATAGCACCTTTAAACTTTTTAATTAATCTGAATTAAACAAAAAATTAAGGGCAATAAAATAAAATAACCACACTTGTATTTCAAGTAAAACAAAAATTGGACATAAAATAGGCCTATATTAAAATAATATTAATATCAATATATTATTCTTCATTCAGTTCTATGCAGCAGAATCAGATTCAACAGATTTTTTGACCTATTGTAAAAATAAAGTAGTGCCTACAAAGCTATTATTATCAGAGCATGTGAGCAGATAGCAGGGAGAGGTCAGTGAACAAGAGTCTGGCGTCATTTTACCAGTGTTGCCCAGCACGTCTATACACACCATGTTACAGCACAGTAGGGCTATTGCAAACAGAAACAAGTCCAGAGAAATTTCACGTCGGCACGTTTTTAGTAGATTTCACCTTTCTGGTGAGCATGAATGGTACATGTGTTACAACAGTCTACTGACAGTCTACTAATACTCTAATGAGAGTTAGTTGACATGTAGTTGAAAAGTTACTTATAGTTAGGAGAATGTCTAAAGTGGACAATCTAAATAAAGTGTAACCGAATACACATATGGGATCGCCGCAGGGATCACTACATATGGACACCCAGCCAAACAGAGGTTCCACAATGTATACGGGTGTTAGGCCTGGCATCAGACTCTCCACCACGTCTGACTGCCGGAGGTGATGGAGGAACTCAACAGGGTTAGCCATTTCTGGGGAACTCTACTGGAGCAAATAAACACATATATCCGGCCCAGCGGGCGGGAGTGGTGTAGCAAGCCAACACTTAGAACAGGTCCCTCGCGCTACAGACCGGGAAAGCATGGTTGTCAACTCTGATTCTGATTCAATATGAGCACACACAACATTACAATGGGAAGCTCAACACAATCTTCATTTCCAAAGCATCTCTCCGATGCAGCGAGTGACAGTGATGCGCTGGGTTGCCGTGACATTAATTCTTAATTTCTTATTGGTTATTCACTGTCACATGGGCACAGGTGATCACTTCCGCTCTCTTTATTATTTCCATAGGGTGGATTGTTTGAGAGGGTTGGAAGAGGCGAGTAGCGGGAGCAAACTTTCTGTTGACAGTATTGCATCGGTTTGAATGCCTTATCATGTCTTCATACGCTTTACCAAAATAAAATCCCAAAAATCCCTTATTGGTTATTCACTGTCACATGGGCACAGGTGATCACTTTATTCACAGCTCACTTTATTATTTCCATAGGGTGGATTGTTTGAGAGGGTTGGAGGAGGCGAGTAGCGGGAGCAAACTTTCTGTTGACAGTATTGCATCGGTTTGAATGCCTTATGTCTTCATATGCTTTACCAAAATAAAATCCTAAAAAGCGAAAGCCACCAATTTGCCACAATGTAAAATAGATACAAATTGTCATGAGAGTTTGTTTGTTGTTTATCAGATTTTTAAACACTGGCACAAAATCAGGTCCATTTTGCAGCTTAATCTACCAATTCATATGGGAAGACACTGTCTGATGAACGTGAATTGCTTGATTTCTTTACTTTGATATGGCATTTAAGGACAGGTTCATCTAACATCATAACAATAGATACTCGTGGAAAAACTCATTAAAATTGTACAATGTCAGTCTGTATGTAGACTTTTTGTTAGAATTTAGAATTTAGATTAGAATGAGTGCAAATGTCACGATTATAAACCGGACTCACCATGTACAGTGATGTTTCGAGGACGGCGTTTCTCTCCAGATTCAGACTCACACCAGTACACTCCAGTGTCAGATGTGCTGAGAGAGTCGATTACACATCGAGATCCTGTTTGTTTTGCACAAGTTTGTGTGTGTTTGTCTGTGTATCTTCTCACTGTCCATCCAGCAGAGTTACTCTGATCCTCACAGCTCAGAGAGAGAGAGTCAGAGGAGAAGTGTTGACTTCTGCTGGGATTGATGACCAGAGACACTGAAGCAGAAACTCCTGAAAAGAGGAAAATCTCCATCAGAACTGACAGCACAGAGACTGCAGTGAAACACAGATGCGGATGAGCACAAGCATAAACCCTCACCAGTGATCCACAGTGTGTGTGAGCTGCTGTTGTGTGTGTAATAGGCTGGTCGTCCTCTCTCTGCTCTGCACGTATAAACTCCTGTGTGCTGTAGAGCAGCAGGACTGAGAGTGTAAGATCCTCCAGCTCCTCTGCTGCTGTCTGACAGATGATCATGATCTCTGAACCAGCTGAACGTCCAGCCTGTAGAGGAGCCTGAAACCTCACAGATCAGAGTCACTGATTCTCCTTCAGTCAGCCACGGCTGTGGAGACACTCGCAGTGATGCCTGAGCTTCAGCTGAACAAAACATCATGAGTTACAGAGCCGTAGAGAAACTGATGGAGAAGCTGATCACAACACACACAAACTCACCTGATACAGTCAGTGTAACAGCATCACTGATGTTTGATTTCTGTGAGTTTGATCTCTCTCCTCTACAACTGTATTTACCGCTGTGAAAGAGATCAACACTGCTGATGTTCAACTCTTGTCTTGAGCACAGACTGACAGCATTTCTGTGTTTCTGTTTATCAGCTCCACTGGTGCAGCAGTCTTGTTCTGTACATCGATTGGCAGAGTTTCGATCCCAGTTGTTGGTTACATTTATTTTCCATCTGTATGTCCACTCAGTGTCTCCTCCCCACTTTATATCACATCTGAGAGTGACTGTTTCTCCTCTAAACACTTGTTCATCAGGTCGTACCGTCACCACAGCTTTAGGACTCACTGTACAAACACAGATTATTGCATTTATAGTTTCAGAAGTTGTATAGATATTGTCTCTGATCTGTATTTGTTGCATCACACACTACAGTCTCTCTCACCTGTAACATTTACCCACAGTGCATCACTGTATTGTGTGTGATAAACTGGTTTCCCTCTTCCAGCTCTACACCAGTACTGGCCTCCATCAGACACTGAATCAATCTTCAGGCTGTAGGAGTGTGTTTTCTTCTTCTCTGTCTCAGGGTTCAGTGTGTGTTTGTACCAGTAAAAGTCCCAGTCTTCAGTGGACGGATCCATGCGACAGGTCAAAGTCACTGTGTTTCCAGTCAGTGCAGCTCCTGCAGGATCTGATGTGAGTTCAGGCTTCGGCTGTAGATCTGCAGGAGAACAACAACAGATTCAGATCCTCGAGAGTCAGAGTTCACCTGTGTTACACAAATCATTGTGTGTTTGTCTGCAACAGTTCATACAGAAGAGAATAAGTGCTGAAATATGGATTTTATAGTAGCATTAAACAGATATGAATATGAACTGCATTAAAAAATCAGTTTTGTTCTAATGAAGAAAGACATACAGATTTTGAAGAAAGAGGGTGTGTGAGATTAAATTATTACAATTTTCATTTTCAGCTGAGTAAATGCTGAAACTTTTGTGTGAGTATCAGATAAAATACATCATAAATCTAAGGAACTGTAAATTGTAATCAGGTACAAAACGATGACAAGAACTTCTGAAAAGCCAATCAAAGCAATTTCTTTTACATATAATATAATGTTTTATGATTATTAATGTATTTAGCAGCCATTAACAGAACTATTTTTAGCTGTTTCTCAGATCTGTGTTCACATGCGTCAGACAGACGACTTTATCTGTTGTGTTTCTCTGTTTATCAGGACTCTTGCCATGAATGTTGTTGTTTTTAAGATTACACTTCAAAAATACTTTAAGAAAAACATTTTCAGACCTCTGCATTCATTTTCATTCAGTTTTGCTCCTTCAAATAGTTTGTAACACAAGATAAAATAAAATCAAGCCCTTCTAAAGAGGAGTGACAACTATTTATCAGCAGTGTGAAGGAGAGTAAAAGTCTCTCGATTAGTTGTGTGATCATGATCATGTAGAGAGAGTTCAGCTGTCAATCATCTCATGTGATCCAATATGACCATAATCCTGTCCTTCTGCATGACTCGGTCCTGTCTACACTTCCTCAGTCTGACCTCCGTGATGATAACAAAGCTAAACACATCTCTTCACCTAAAACAAGAAGCTAATAAATGCACGATTTAAATATATGTGGTTTGTGTGTGATTTTCGTGCGATTTGGGGTATTTTCATATGGATAAAGAATGTTAACAGTATGCATGCTAGGTAAGGATAGCCCATAGCTTCATATAAAATGCTAAATATAACATATTTCAAAAACGTTTTTTTTTTTACTTGAAACCATTTTAAACCGCGACCGGGATATGATACAAATACTCGATGGTGTTTTAATGTGAGCTTTAAGTAAAAGTGTAATATTAATCAATAAATTGTGTCATGTAGCTTGATGCTAATTGTTGTGGTAATGCACCTGCTGCAGGAGCTTTCTATTACATAATATATATTTTTAAAGAATTCACTCAAGCTTCAAGAATAGTTTTTCTTTTCTTTTCTAACAAGACTTAAGATATAATAGGTGGATTATTCATGTATAGTGGGTTGACAGAGGTGTAATTTAGATGGCCAAGCATAATTCCAGAATAAAGGCTATATCCCAGACAGCAAGCCAACATTGAATACACATTGTTTTTCCATCTGAATCATCATTATGGTTGATATTGAAATTTCAATGCAAAATTAATGTTGAATCACCATTACCCTGTCGATGAAAACCTGATGTTAATGTTGATGGCAACGATATTGGAACAACATTGATCTATAGTTATCCTTATGATTGATTAAGCATTGATATTTGGTTTACCGGGCGATCGCTAAATGTGTTGAAAAGTCATTGATTTATAGTTGACCGGGAAACGACGCTGTTGTTGAAAAGTCATCGGCATATAGTTGAGGGGGACATATGATTGAAAATGCATCGATATATAGTTGACCAGGAAATATGATTGAAAATCAATAGATCAACGGGTGTTATACCAACGTAACGTTACTGCATCGGACACAGCTCATTTCTGGACCTGGCACAAGCGTAAAGGTAAGCTTGCTTAATGTTTGATATGAATGAATTGTACCAAATCAAATACTGTTAGGCTGATCGTTAACATGATGGTTATAGTGTAACGTTAACCGACGCAGTGCTGCAGTCACTGAAATAGATTTTTGTTTTATCACTGTGTAAGAATCTGCCAAAAGTAGGCTAGGCCTACTTTGTAGTTCTCTTCTAGGTTATAAAGTTAGCATAACCCTGCAACACAAATGACCCACACATTTAGTAGGGACCTAGAAATATAACCCGACCTGGGGTGAAGAAATACTATCACCATACCAGGTGTAGCCACATCGAGATGTGCCTTAATTAGCTCAAATTATGCATAGGGAATTTTAATAATTAATCATGAATATGATTAATATATTGCATATTACAGTTAAATTATCGAAATTGAAAATAGATCGATTGTATATATGAATGGTAAATCATAACGAATTATAATTCCTCATTCATATATCAATGGTCTCATTACAGATCGATTATATGAGACAACTTTAAGGGAATTCATTTAGTTTATCAAACAATCGGTTTGTCCAGCAAACAGCCGTAAGACTAACTTACCAACTTCTCAACAAGGCTGTCCCTTTTTATAAACTCCAAGAAATCTCAATGTTCCGGCCGTGAACATTAATTTTCTCGTGTTTATAAAATTTACGTTACTGATATAGTAACAACTTGTAAAGCTTTTGTAGCTATAGGATCGCATTTCATTGACTTGTAAAGTATGAGCATTCAAAAACAATCAAGAATATAATGGTTTTAATAAAATGAAACTACGGATACAGAATTCTACATTTAAACACGGGATACATGTATGTACAGTAAACAGTAAAACTAATGAGACAGACGAACAACAAACAGGAGTGAGAGAGAGAGATTGCGAGAGCGCAAGATTGGGAGAGAGAGAGAGAGAGAGAGAGAGAGAGAGAGAGAGAGAGAGAGAGAGAGAGAGAGTGAGTGAGAAGATGAGAGATCTTCTGGTTTGGCGAAATTCATCACAGACACAGAACCTTTTTAGACACCAAGAATCAACAGATCTTAAACCTCGAAAGAATGGTAAACGGTTACTTGCACAGGTAAAGCTCTTTGTGGTTGATGTGAAGAAGGGTGTGTGTCTCTGTCCTCGCGTCATGCGTTCACGTGGTCTTTCAGAGCGGGCAAAGCGTGTTAGTTTGAATGAAGGCTTAAAGGTCTTTGGTTCTCCTGGTGTTGCTGAGGAAAACCGCGTCTTGCGTGTGTGTCCTTAGGAGCGGGTGCGTGCTTTCTCAGCTCTTCTGGGCGAGCGTGGTCGCTGCAGATTCAAAGAGTCTCCTTCAGGTTGAAGTTGCCGATTACGTTTATTTCACTGAAACTAAACGTAAGAAAAGTCCGAAGACGAAAATAAAGAAAGATTAAAGAAAACGGAGAAAGCTCCCAGAAGGAGCCATGGATCCTCTCACAGGAAAAGCTCTCATGTGGCGTAGAAACTGCATCGAACAGATTGTGGCGTTCGAGTTTTGAAGGAGCTAGAGGCACGCCTTTCTTGCGTGTCCTATCCAATCGTTTGGGGAGGAGGCGTGTTGTCAAACTTCTGTGTTTGCGAAAACACACGCCCTCCGGGTCATGTGCATGGAAGATATCATTTAGTAAAAATACACTTCTAAACTGGTATTGATAAAAGTATGCCTCATGTTGCACTTTGGGTCAGTGATTCGATCTTATTCGATTCCTCTGATTCCAATCATACCAAGCGCGACATTCCTAGGGCTAGTAAAATGCAGATACATGATTTTCGTGATTAAACGAATGTCAAACTGATTACATACCATAAAAGCTTATAGTTACATCAATTTGGTCACATGGGGATTGTAAAACACAACAAGAGAAACACTTCATACGTTTAAAGAGGTAGGCATTTAAAAGTTCATGAATGAGTGTTTCTGCGTGTGTTTGTGTAGCAGAGTTCAGTTAGAGTTTGCCGGGGTGGTGGACTTTCGCTCACTCCCCCTCCGGGGAGTTTCGTGTGTGTGCGTACTCCTCTGAGTTGATGAGTTTAATCATTTGAGTGGTGGTGATCACGTTATTACACTTATGCTCTGTGTGTGAGGTGATTAAAACAGAGGAGACCCTAAGGGGTCGCGTGGTCTTCGGCCGGACTCACGAGATGTCATCTCGAGTCACATGTCCCGAGCTGGCTCGATTAGTAAGCAAAGCACTTCGTTGTTCATTCATCAGAGAAGACGCTGCATGTGCGAATGGAGTCAATGATTTAATCAATTCAAAACACTGTCCCCTTTGTTTCACGAATGGAAGAGACTTTAGTAAATTAGAATCTAGTTAATTTACTCCACATACCAGAGCTGGCTCGATTACCTATCTGATTATCACTACACAGGTGCAATCCAAGTACGTGCAGGCCTCAGCCTCATGTACCACGGAGAAGACAAATTTGAGGATCTCTCCTCAGAGATAACCCAGCAAAGAAACATACATTACAGAAATAAAGTACTGTACCAACAGGGCAGAACCAAGATTCAGAAGGTGTCTCTGCACTAGGCAGAGAACACTTTTCATATCAATGCATATTTAGTCTTCTCATGGAGGGAGCTCTAGACTGGAGTATGGTCTCCACGACCTTGGTCGAGAGACCTGAATCTAACAGGTCTGAGCTGTCTCAGGTCCCAGCTCCCAGCTCCCAGCAGAAACATCTGAGCTGGGCCGAGCCCACAGTATCCATAACTCCAGATGAGGGTGAAATATTGTATCCCAGAAACTCCCGGGAGCAAATATATCGGGAAATGCGTACAGGTGTAGCGTCAACCACACCTAATACATCACATCCAGTCCAAGCGGAGCTGGACGCGTGAGGGAGAACCACATAGGGCAATGCGTTGTACAAACGATGTGAAAGGTCGACTTGAGTTTGACCGAAGTTCTCCCTAAGAAGCTCCACCACCTCGGGGTGAAGTCTCCATTCCCTGGGCCTCAGCCCCTGCCTCAACAGGATATCTGCGTTGATATACGAGACCATCAGTGTGTTGTCCAGAAGGACAAACACATGGTGATCTCTCGGGTCTGGCAGGAAGTATTGAGATTCTCGGGAATACCGCCATCACTTTAAGCCAATTATGTGCTAAAAGGTAGATGGTCCTGCCAAACACCCCTCGCCGAGCGACCACTCATGATCAC